AAATCTTTCTATTTCACCTAAATTGTTTAATGTATTAGATTAAAGTTGCTATGATATACTTCGTTATCCTTTTAACATTTGTAGAATTGGTAGTGATGTCACCTCTCTCATTCCTGATGTGGGTATTTTATGTTATCTCCCTTTCTTTCCTGATCAGTCTGGCTAGAGTTTTATCATCTTTATCAATCTCAAAGAACTAGCTTTTGGTTCCATTGATTTTTCTTTATTTTTCTGTTTTCTATTTCATTGGTTTCTGCTCTGATCTTTATGATTTTCTTTGTTTGCTTACTCTGTGTTTAATTTGCTCTTCTTTTTCTGGTTTCTTAAAGTGGAAGATGAAGTCATCGATTTGAGACCTTTCTTCTTTACTAATACAGGTATTTAGTTCTATAAATTTCCCCGAATACTGCTTCAGTAGCATCCTATAATTTCTATATAATGTGTTGTGATTTTCTTTCAGTTAAAAATACTTTCTAATTTCCTTTTTGATTTCTTCTTTAGTCCATGGGTTATTTAGAAATGTGTGTGTGTCTAAATATTAGGGAATTATCCAGATATCTTTCAGTTATTGATTTCTAATTTAATTTCATTGTGGAAAGATGCTTGTTTTGCAGCCCAGAATATATTCTATCTTTGTAAATGTTCCATGTGCAATTGAAAAAAGTGAGTATTTTTTGCTGTTGTTGGTTGCAATGCTCCATAAATATCAATTATTAGGTCAAATGATGGTGTTTTTTAAATCTTCTATATTTTAACTGATTTTCTGTCTACTTATTCTAGTAATTACTGAGAGCAGTACTAGAATCTCTGACATGATTGTGGATTTGTCTCTTTATGCTTCCAGTTTTATCAGTTTTTGTTTCTTGTATTTTGGTGCAATTATTAGGTACATAAACATTTACAATTATTGCCTCTTGAATAACTGACCACTTTATTATTATGAAATAATCTTCATTATCCCAGTAATATTTTTTGCTCGGAAATCTACTTTGTAGATATTAATACAGCCACTCCAGCTTTCTTTTTTTTAACAGCTTTATTGAGATTAAATTCACCACCAATTTACCCATTTACAGTACAATTCAATTATTTTTGGTATATTACATTATTAAATTTTTATATTATTGTAAAACATATATAACATAAAATTTGCCATTTTAATTTTTTTGTGTGTGTGTGAGGAAGGTTAGCCCCGAGCTAACATCCGATACCAATCCTCCTCTTTTTGCTGAGGAAGACTGGCCCTGGGCTAACATCTCTGCCCATCTTCCTCTACCTTTATATGGGACACCACCACAGCACGGCTTGACAAGTGGTACGTCACTCCGTGCCTGGGATCCAAACATATGAACCCTGGGCCGCTGAAGCGGAGTCCGCGCACGTAACTGCTATGCCACCAGGCTGGCCCCACAATTTTTAAGTGTACAATTCAGTGGCATTAAGTACATTCACAATGTTGTGCAATCACCATCATTATCTATTTCCAAATCTTCATCACCCCAAATGGAAACTTTGTAACCACTAAGCAATAACTCCCAATTCCTCCATCTCCCCAGCCCCTGGTAACCTCCAATCTATTTTCTTTCTCTATGAATTTGCCTAATCCAGATATTTCATTTAAGCAGAATAATACAATGTTTGTCCTTTTATGTATGGCTTATTTCACTTTGCGTAATTTTTTCAAGGTTCATCTACGATGTAGCGGGTATTAGAACTTTCTTCTTCTTCTTTTTTTTTTTTTTGGAAGATTAGCCCTGAGCTAACATCTGTTGCTAATCCTCCTCTTTTTTGCTGAGGAAGATTGGCCCTGGGCTAACATCCGCGCCCATCTTCCTCTACTTTATATAGGATGCCGCCACAGCATGGCTTGATAAGCGGTGGGTAAGTCCGCACCCAGGATCCAAACCTGCAAACCCTGGGCCGCTGAAGCAGAGCAAGCAACTTCAAGGCTACGCCACCAGGCCGGCCCCAGAGAACTTTATTCTTTTTTATGGCTGAATAATATTCCATTTTATGTATATATACCATATTTTGCTTATCCATTCACCTGTCAATGGACACTTGGGTTGTTTCCACTTTTTGGCTATTTTGAATAATGCTGCAATGAACATTGGAATACAAGTATTTGTTCAAGTCCCTGCTTTCAATTCCTTTGAGTGTATACCTAAGAGTAGAATTGCTGGGTCATACAGGAATTCTATGCTATGCTTTTTGAGGAACTGCCAGTCAGTTTTCCATAGCAGCTGCACCATGTTATATTCTCACCATCATTGTACAAGGGTTCCAAGTTCTACACATCCTCACCAACATTTGTTATTTTCAGTTATTTTGATAATACCCATCCTAGTAGGTGTAAAGTGGTATCTCATAGTTTTATTTGCATTTCCCTAATTACTCATGATGTTGAGCATTTTTTTATGTGTTTATCGGCCATTTGTATATCTTTGGAGAAACATATATTCAAGTCTTTGCTCATTTTTGAATTGGATTGTCTTTTTGTTCTTGAGTTTTAGGAGTTCTTTATATACTCTGGATATTAAACCCTTATCAGATATATTATTTACAAATATTTTCACCCATTCTGTAGGTTGTCTTTTTACTTTCTTGATAATGTCCTTCGAAGTACAAAAGTTTTTAATTTTGATGAAGTCCAATTTATCTATTTTTTCTTTGGTTGCTTATGCTTTTGGTGTCACATCTAAGAATCCTCGGGGCTGGCCTCGTGGCTTAGTGGTTTAGTGCGTGCGCTCCACTACTGGCGGCCCGGGTTCGGATCCCGGGCACGCTAGTGGCGGCCTGGGTTCAGATCCCAGGCGCGCACCGACGCACCGCTTGTCTGGCCATGCTGAGGCCGCATCCCACATACAGCAACTAGAAGGATGTGCAACTATGACATACAACTATCTACTGGGGCTTTGGGGAAAAAAAAAAAGGAGGAGGATTGGCAATAGATGTTAGCTTAGAGCCGGTATTCCTCAGCAAAAAGAGGAGGATTGGCATGGATGTTAGCTCAGGGCTGATCTTCCTCACACACACACACAAAATAAATTAAAAAATAAGAATCCATTGCCAAAGCCAAGGACATTCCAGCTTTCTTTACACAGCGTTAGCACAGTGTGTCTTTTTCCATCCTTGTGCTTTTAACCTATTGGTATAGTTATATTTAAAGTGAATTTCTCATAGGCAGCATTTGGTCGAGTCCTGCTTTTTTATCCGGATCTGCCACTCACTGCCTCTTAATTGGGATGTTCAGATCATTTATATTTAATCTGATTATTGATATAAACCTTCCATTTGGCGATTTGTTTCCTGTCTGTTATTTGTTCCCTTTTCTTCTTTCTGACTTCTTTTGGACTGAATATTTTTTATGATTCCATTTTCTCTCCCTTGTTGGATTATTAGCTATAACTCTTTGTTTTTTTAGTTTAGTGGTTGCTTTAAGGCTTAGAATATACCTCTTTTACTTATCACAGTGTTCGTTCAAGTGATATCACATAGAATATAGGAACCTTACAATAGTCTATTTCCATTTCCTTCCCTTTTCCTGGCCTTTGTGCTATTGTTGTCATACGATTAGCTTCTATGTATGTATACAGGTAGATGGATAGATATAAAACCTTAACTACATTGTTTTTATTTTTGTTTAAATAGTACTTTATCTTCCGTTGAGATTTAAATAATAAGAAAATAGTCTTACATGTTTACGCTGTAGTTACCATCTCCAGGGCTCTTCATTCTTTTGTGTAGATCCAGGTTTCTATTTGTTATCCAATTACACATATATTAGGCCTCTTAAAGTCACCCTTCAACTCACTAATATTCCACTCACTATGTTTAAGTTGACTTTCTCTGTGTCTATCCCAGCACCTCAGCATCTGGCACACAGTTAGGTGCTTTCTAATCAGATACCACAGGGGAGAATTCCCCATAGAAACCCGCATCCATTAGTCTAATCCTCAGAGTCTGTCACAGACACTATCATGTCACACTCCTACTCCACTCTCCACCAGTCATTCCCTTTCTATCATAGCACATTCTCATAGGCGACATCACAAATGTCACACACACAATAATAACACAAGCACACACAGTCACAGAATCGCAGCATGCCCACCCCAACACACAAAAGAATTTTACATAGTTACTCTCACAGAAACACACACAATGACAGAATCAAAGGGTCATGCACCAACTCACAAAATCACAGTCAGGTGACAGAAACTTGTTGTGAGGAGACAATAAAAACTTCAAATATAAACACTATTGTTCTAAGGGGACATAGAGTCAGAGTAAGGAGCCATGGAGCGCCAGCGGAGAGGTGTGATGGGGACGGCCTCTTTGGAGATGTGACATCTGTATCTGAATGTAAGGTGTAAGGGAACTTTGAAGATACCTGCAGAAGAGCCATTTTAGGAAGAGGGGACACATTCACACCCACCATCACCAAATCACAAATCCAAGAGCCATATGCAAATCGCGACACCTAGACCCCGCCCCTGCCCCTGTCTTCAAGGTAAACCAGTCCCGGAGCTAGAACGCCCGGGGGGGAGGCGGGACTGGGAGAAACTACAACGCGCACCTGCGCACTCTACTCCCTGCCCCCCCTCGACTTTTTCGGGTACCCTCGCTCAATTAGGAGCTCGCCCCTCACCCACTTTGCGCAGACGCGCGCGCACTAGCGCCCGCACACAGACCCCACCCCCCTGCGGCTGCCCCGCGGCTCGAAGTTCCCCGCCCGGGTTGCTAAGGTAGGAGGGCTCAGCGCTTGTGCCTGAGCACTTCAATCCCAACCGGCTCGTGTGCGGACCTAGGCTCGGAGCTGAGAGGATTCCGGGCTTCTGGGCTCCTTCTGCAAGGCAAGCGACAGGCCGGCGTTGCGAGCCCCCAGCGAGCTGCGCCTGGCTCGTTGGACTCTGCCGCGCCGCGGCGTTTTCTGATCTGGACTACATTTCCCAGTGGCCTCCGCGAGCGCTGGGCCGGCGGCCCCTTTGTGTCTCCGGAGGCCGAGTCGCTTCTTTCTGGGCCCGCAGGGGCTGGGCTCCATCCGACTCTGGGGCGGGAGGTGGGCCGGAGTGGAGATTGCCGGAGCCTTCGCGGCGGGGACGGGATCTGCCCGCAGTTCAGTTCTGCAGGTAGGGAGTGGGCTGACGAGTGGCCTGTGGGTCACCCGAACGCGAGAGCCCCTGGGCCCTCTGTGTGACTCTGCGTGTGACGCCGTGGTTGATGCCGTGCAGTGTGAGACTGTCACACGATGTGCGTGTACACGTGTCTGTGTGACTATGGGTGCGAGTGAGTCAATGGTTGGTGCCATAGAGTTTGAGGCTGTGGGTGGGGGTGTTCCCGAGCCCTAGGCCTCTTTGTGACTGGCGTGTGTGAGTGAGACCGTCGGTTGTGATACTCTAGTATTTGAGGCTTGGGAGTATGGGAGAGGGTGACCGTGTGAGCCTGTGCCTATACCCATGGCCACTGACTGTGATGTGTGTAAGACAGTGGTTGGCGCTGTGGTTTTTAAGAATTATTGAGTATTGGGGGCCGGGAGGGGGGGTTACTGAGTGAAACCGTGTGCCAGTGAAACTGTGTGTATCTTAAAGCTAGCCGAGTGATGACAATGTGCCACCAAGTTCGAGAACCACTGATCTATTGGAGAGGAGGAGTGTGGAGTCAGAAAGACCTTTATTTGATCCTGGTGCTGTTACTTATTGTGTCTCTTTATGTAAATAATTACATTCCTGGGAGTTTTTATTTGTAAAATCTAGAAAATCTCTGGTTGTAATAATAAATTAGGAAGTGATTTAGGCACGGGTTAAATTGTATACAAATTCTTAGGTCTCCATTATGCTTTCTCTCTAATGGAAAAAATGCTCGTCTCTTAACAGGACGAAAGCAAAGCTGAAAAATTCTAGGCTGGTGATTCTGGATGCTGCAAGGAAAGCCTGGTTTCTCATGTTCTCTTCTCCATCTCAGTCATCTAAGGACACTGCCATTTCCCAAGAGAAGAGCCAAGAGGAGGAAAGAATGGCTGTTGGACTTCTGAAAGCCATGTATCAGGTGAGCTGGTGTTTTCTCTTTTCTGAAATATTTTCCTGCTTTTCCAAACAAGCAGACTTGAACTTTCATTCTGCTGAAACTTTTCAGGGCAACCAATCATGTTACTTCTTAAAACTTTCCAGTGGATTCCCACTAAGTATTTTTGTCATTTATTAGAGGTCAAATATTTTAAGGTTAGCATTTAAGCTTCTTATATTAACATTGTAATTATTTTCATTGACTGTATAAATTAATTAATTATATATAAAAATATTTATACATTTTATTATATATATTTATATAAGCTAAGGAAAACGTTTTGGAAGCATATATACCAGATGAACCAACTCTTAACAGGAGCATTTTTAAAGCATATGAGGGGTATTATTGCTAGCATAGAGAGGGAGAAATTCACAAACTACTTCATATAATTAAATAAGAAAAAAGGTTACCGAGTGTTGAAAAACACTTTAAGAATTTTTATTCTGTAGAGACAGCTTCTTTAACTATGACAAAATTGTATCAAATGCCCAATAAAAGTCTTTTTTTGCCTTGACAGATTCACCACTTTTAATTTTATTTAAAAAAATTACATATACACATATACCCACACACATACCCACACACACACACACACACACACACACACACACACACACACACACACACACACACACACATAACGGATGTTAGTTTCATCAGCAACTGGTCACGTTATAGAAACCTGGATCCAAGTTTTTAAGAACTTTCCCTAGCCCCTGTAGTCAGAAGCAGTATTACGAGTGGAACACCCATTTCTTTACGCAAAATTTAAGTACTCTGGATTAAAGTATTTGAGTTTTAATGGAACTGATTTGCTCTGCTTGGTCTAGCACAATTTTCAGAGATATAGCAAGCACTTTCTGGTCTCATTTTTAATCCTCTTATAGCTTCGTGAACTTTTCAAGCCCCTCATTTATTAATTAAGTTTATTCTGTGAATATTTGAATGCCTCATGTGTGCCCAAAACTGTCCAGAAACTGGGAGTATGGCAGTGACCAAAACAAAAACAGTCTGCCCTCATGGAGCTTACATCTCAGTGGAGGTGAGGGGCAGACAATAAATAACAAAATAATTATGTGCTGTGGAGAAAAATAAAGCAGGGTTAGGAGAATAGGGAATTAGGGGAGGGGCATTGCTATTTTTACAGAGAATGATCTGAGAAGTACAAAGCCCTGAGGGGGAACATTCTTGACATACATAAGGATGTAATATCAGAGGGAGGCCAGTGTGCCTGGGGCAGGACAAATTAGGTGAGTATGGTAAGAGAGGAGGTTATTTCACTTTGTTTATTTCATTTCAGGAGTTGGTGACCTTCAGAGATGTGGCTGTAGACTTCTCCCAAGAGGAGTGGGATTGTCTAAATTCTTCTCAAAGATGTCTGTACAGTAATGTGATGTTGGAGAACTACAGGATCTTGGTGTCACTGGGTGAGAATATCTTCTCCTTGTAGCATTGAGCTTCTACACATAAGGGGCCCTTGGCTACCACCATTGTAATTTTTGGATAGCATCTGCAGTTCTTGGCTGAATCTGAGGCTGAGTCTGCTGCCTGTGCCAAAGTGATGGTTTAATATTTGTGGAGTTAGCCGTGGACAGGTCTGTTATTAATCTATGTCTGAAGCTTAAGCTTCCCTATCCTTTGAATACCTGTCCTTTACACATTTTTCTCTGGCTTACTGTGAGCTTCCTCTTCCCTTATGATCAAAGGGTTGGATGTGAGTTCTGGGATATCCAAGACATGACCCAATTCTGTTTCTTTTCATCTATGCAGGACTTTGCTTTTCTAAGCCAAGTGTGATATTATTGTTGGAACAAGGGAAAGAGCCCTGGATGGTGAAGAGAGAGCTGGCAAAAGGCTTGTGCTCAGGTGAGTGAAGAGGAAATAGACAGGAGAAAGCTTTGCAGGTGACAGCTCAGCTTGACTCAAAGGTATCACCTCTTCACTCTTCTTTGTTGGCATGTTCTTCTTAAATGTTTTAGGTCTTAGTAGAAACTTTGGGCCTTTTAGAATGTTCTCCCAAATTTGTTATTCTTAACTCTCTCTCCTTTCACACTTTGCCCCCCCTTTCTAATAACTCATTTATGTGTTCTCTGAGTCCCCTTCCTTCCCAGTTTCATAATCCTCTTCCAGTCTTTAAAAAAATCTTTTCCTAATCTGATAAACTTCTGAGCTGTACAGGCAGCCGTAACTGGAGTACCAGGTTCAAATCCTGACACTTAGGAGCAATAAAATTTTGGGCAAGTTACTTAAGCTCTCTGTGCTTTTGTTTTGTCATCTGTAAAATGGGATAATACTTTTAAAGTGCTTTGATTAGTTTCTGTCTCATGTTATGAACTCAGTAGCTGTTAGCTGCTATTATATAGTCATGTGCTGCATAATGATGTTTCAGTCAATGACGGACCACATATATGACGATGGTCCCATAAGATTAGTACCATGTAGCCTAGGTGTGCAGTAGGCTATCCCATCTAGGTTTGTGTAAGTACACTCTGTGATGTTCACACAATGATGAAATCACCTAATGACGCATTTCTCAGGATGTATCCCCATCATTAAGTGACACGTGGCAGTAGTATCTCCAAATGCCTCATTTTTCTTTTAATGGTCCGTTCATTCATTCTTTCATTCCTGTAATCCACATTTATTGAATTTGTACTTTAAACAGGGTACTTGCAAGATGCTGGGTATCATACATCTATGTAAATAATCGAACAATTGATAGGCTAGAGGTATAGATACAATACAGCTGTAAATGGCATACATGAAAAGAAAGCTGACATAAAGGGAGCTCAGAGAAAGAGGTGAGAAGCAGAGGAGTCTGGGTAACTGGGAAGATGATGGTCTTTAACAAAAACACAGGTCAGAAGCTAGAAAACATTGGAAGGAGAAGAGATGAAGAGTTTAGTTTGTGGTGTAGGAAGGATTTTCAGATAGGCATAGAAACCATTAAGGTAAAATGGAGGACTAAAGGTCAGAAGAAAATTAGGGTTATTGTAAACACCTCTGTCAACACCACTCCCCAACTCACCCCCCCTTCCCTTTCCCCAGTCTTTTATGTCCTTGTTCAGTTTTCTAAAAAAAAATTTCTGTGTGGTACTGTAGTGTCAAAGAATATATGGTTAAATTTTATTTGTTAATTGTTGTTATTAAATAAATAATACACACATAAATATATATTACGATATATATGTAGTTTAAATAATAATAGAACAAAAACCCATGTACCTTCTTCTTAGCTTAAATAGAAAATTGTCAATGTCATTTTAGGCCCTTGAGGGGCCCTGCCTAATAATGTATCATTCCCTGCCCACGGCCCATCCCGACCCCTCACTGGGTCACCATTGTCCTACACTTCTGCGTATCATTTCTTGGCTTTTCCTCATATTTGTGCCATATATCCTTAAACAAAATATTTATATTTGCATATTTTCAACTGTTTTATGCATGGAATCATATTATACATGTTATTCTGACTTTTTTTTTAACTCAAAATTATATTCCTGAGATTCATCCATATTGATTTTAGTAGCTATGGTTCATTGAATTTTTTTTTCCTTCTGAAATATAATGTATTCCACTGTGTAAACCACAATTGATCCATTGAAGGTCATTTGAGTTGTTTCAGTTTTATGCTATTAAACATGTTACTGCTAGGAACCTTATTATATGTGGCTGCTGGTGCGCATATGCTGGAGTTCATGTAGAGGATATAGCCAGGAATTTACTAGATAATGCTATTTTACTTTACAAAGTGCTTGTACTAATTTACATTTCTAAAAGCTGTGTGTGAGAGTATTCATTGCTCCACACTCAGAGTTGACAAATTGAAAAAATTTTTGCCAACTTGTTGGGTGTAAAATATTATCTCCTTATCCTTGCCATCTGAATTTCCTTGAGAACTAGAGAAATTGGGCATCTTTTCCTATTTATAATGGCCGTTTGGATTTCCTCTTCTGTAAAGTGCCTGCTCAAGTCTTTAGCCCATTTTTGGGAAGGTTGTCTTTTATATATACATTTGTAGTTTATATTTTTGACTTGGATATTTTGTTTTAAGAAACCTTTCTGTATTCTGAAGTCCTATAGATATTCTCAAATTGTCTTCTAAAGATTTTCCTTTTATATTTAGGTCCACAATCCGGTTGAAATTGATTTTTGAGATTGAAATAAGAATTTAGTTTCTCTGCTTTATGAAAAACCAAATGTCCCAGACATTTATTGAAGAAATGAGCTCTCTTTGCTTGTTGTTCTGCATGTTACCTCAGGTTATAGTAAATTTATGGGTCTGATTTTGAGTTCTATCCCATTCCATTGATCTCTATTTCCTTATGTCAGTACCACACTGTCTTAATTAAAATACTTTATTATAAAACAGTATCTGTTAGAGCAAGGCCCTACACCTTGTTTATGTTCTTTAGAATTTCTTGTTTGCCCTTTGACCATCTAAATAAAGTTTAGGGTCAGCTTGCCAGTTTCCACCAGAGAACAAAAAAAAGCTATTGGCTTTTGATTCAAATTTTATTTATTCTATATATCAATTTTGGAAACTTTTCTCTTTGTAAACTTCATTTATCTCTCCATTTATTTAGGTTTTAAAATTCCCTTCAGTATGTTTTATAATTTTCTCCATAAAGGCCATGCACATCTTCTGTTAGATTAATTCCTAGGCATCTTAGTTTTGTTGCTGTGTTAAATGTTGTCTATATGTTCTATTTGTTGCTCATATATAGAGATGAAGTTAACTTTTATACATTGACCTTATATCTAGCAATATTGCCAAGCTCTCTCATTAATGCTAATAATTTTTAGATTTCTTTGGATTTTTTTCTGTGGGCAGGCATATCTGTGAATAATGGGAGTTCTTTCATTTAAAATTTTTGTGCTCTGAGTTTCTTTTTCCTCTTGCCCTGTCTGAGATCTCCAGTATAATATGAGTGGAAGTACTGATAAGGGCATTCGTGTCCACTTCTGGTCTCAATGAGAGTGCTTTAGTATCTTGTTGTTAATAGCTCTGACAGTTAAAGGTGTTTTGGTAGATACCCTTTCATTCCTGTTTGCTAGAGTTTTAACAAATGGTTTTCTATATCTGTAGATGATTAGACGCTTTTTAGTTTTTTCATCTATTAATGTGGTGAATTGTATATTACATTTTTAATGTTGAACCAACCTTGTATTCCTGAGACAAACCCCTCTTTATATATCTTTTTCATTCATAGCTGGTTGCTATTTGCCAGTATTTTCTTAGGTTTTTTGCATCTGTGTTTATCAGTGAGATTAGCCTTCAATTTTCCCTTCATGTACTTATCTTGTCAGATTTTGACATCAAGGTTGTCCTAGTCTCATAAAATCTGTTGGTAAGTATTCCTCTTTTTCTTCCTTAGAAGAATTTGTGTAAAATTAAAATTATTTGTTTTTTGAATGTTTGGTAGAACTTTTGTTTGTCTTGGCCTAGGAGTTTTCTTGAGAAAAGACTTTAATAATTCAATTACTGTTGTTATAAGATTGTATGTTTTCTATTTCTCCTGTACTGATGGAGTTATGGTATTTTTTCTACAAGTTAATACTTCTCGTATAAGTTTTCAGATTTATTAGATAAAGCTGTCCATTATTTTCTCTTCTCTAATGTTGCTAGTATATGTAATTTTGACCTCTATTTCCTTCCAAAAAGGGAGAAACGAATCTTTCCAGGGGTTTATCAGTTTTTGGTTGTTTGCAGACATTTTTCACTTCACTGATCCTCTCTAATTTACCTTTTTGAAAATTTCATGTATTTCTCCTCTTTATTATTTCATTCTTCCTACATTTATTTATGCTATTCTCTCTCTTTTTTTTACTTTTAAAATTAGAGTATTCATTGTTTTTGAGGCTTTCTCTTTTCTATTGTAAGCATTTAAGACTATATTAGGAGCATATTCTGCATGTTTTGGTATGTAGTATTTTTGTTATCATGTATATCTAAGCATTTTCTAATTTCCATTGATTTCTTCTTGACCTATGAATTATTTGGAAGTTTTAAGTTCCAAATTTAAGTTTTTTCTTTGGTTTAACTACATTGTGGTTAGAGGATGTGGTCTGTTTAATATGCATTCTTTGAAATTCTTTGAAACTTGTTTTATATCTTAGGGGTTAATTTTGGTAAGTATGCTGTGTGTCCTGGAAAATAATGTCTGTTTTCTGCTTGTGGAGTACAGCATTTGGTATATGTTCATTGGGCTGAGCTCATTAGTTTTAGTGGTCAAATCTGTGTCTTTATTGATTTAAAAAAAAATCTCTTTGAGCAGTCAATTACAGGGAGACATGTTAAAAACTTCTACTTTGATGGTTAATACATAAATTTTTTTGTAATTCTGACAACTGGTTCTTTATATTCTGACGATGTTTTATTAGACATATGTTTTTGGAATTGTCTTATCTTTCTGGTGAATCCTTCCATATATTATTGTTACCCTCTTTAAATCTGGTGATGATTCTTCCCTTAACTATTCTTTTTTTTTGTGAGGAAGATCAGCACTGAGCTAACATCCATGCCAATCCTCCTCTTTTTGCTCAGGAAGACTGGCCCTGAGCTAACATCTATTGCCAATCCTCCTCCTTTTTTTCCCCAAAGCCCCAGTAGATAGTTGTATGTTATAGTTGCACATCCTTTCTAGTTGCTATTTGTGGGATGCCGCCTCAGCATGTCCGGACAAGTGGTGCTTTGGTGCGCGCCCGGGATCCGAACCCAGGCTGCCAGTAGTGGAGCGTGCGCACTTAACCGCTAAGCCACGGGGCTGGCTTAACTATTTTGCTTGATATTAATATACCTATATTAGCCTTTTTTGGTTAATATTTACTTGGTATAGTTTTTTCCACTCCTTTACTCTCTTACT